GAGATTATAAACAAATAACTAAGTATATTGACCTATCAGAAATGACTCTGAAGACCCTTTTAAATTTGACAACAAAGTTTAGAGAATGCAATCCAAATATAGTTTGTATAGTTCAGAAAAAATGATAGCCTTGGACTTGCTTTAAGTCTCTGAAATAATAATCCCTATGCAGATATTATCTTCTATTTGACGATATGTTGTTTACCTCGACATTCTGACAAACAAGAATTGTGCACTTTAGTACTGTGCCACACTTATGTCTATTCAACAATTTTTGGCCCAGATTTTAATTTCATTATATAAGATCTATAACTCTTTCATTTAGAAAGACGAACTAGATTTTTTATATATTGAGAGAGGCGATATCCTATACGTAAAGTAATTGTCAATTATCGATTTGTTCATCATTGAAGCTCTGAAATCATACCATAACTTTGTCTTTCTGATGATTTAGAATGTCAGCTCTTGCATTAATAATCAATGCTCATGATTGAGATAATTGTGCGATTGTACTACTCCGTCGTGACAGTGGCGAATAGACCCTTATATTTGCTTTTATTTGAAGCAGTTGAGGCGTGATGCAGATGACGGCTATACGATATCTTCAACAGTTAGCAGAAGACCTATACGACTGCCCTTTATATCTGTGTTCAATATTAAACTCGGTGCCCATAACAGAGCGGGAGTTAGTCCAGTTTCAACGAATGGTTGATACTTTTCAAACGATACGTTATATTTTGCTAAAATTAGCAACTGTTTTTGAATGCCAATTTAGATTAACTTGTGTTCTATAAAATATGTTGTTGCCTTATAGGAGTACAATTAATCTTTCTTGGCAATAGATGTTCTACTCTATGTTGCATTCTGTGTAAGATTTTATTTTAGTGAACCTTAGATCTTTTTATTATACATTGTGTAAATAAAAGAGAAAATGGCAAAAGAACATCAAACTGGAAAAGTGTTTGAACTAGAAGACTACCGATATGTTAAATATAGCATCGAGGACAACAAAAGAAATACATAAGAGAACGAAAATTGCTTTGACATGCAGAGAAAGTCGAGCGTATCTAAATTCAACTGATGTGTAACAACTATTCCACTCATCAACTTAGACATAAGTCTTGAAAGTGTTATCCTACTTTCTGAATTTCCTCTCTCCCTGTTTGATTGTATGATGAGTGTTTCTTAAATGATCATATAGTTATTGAAACATATTTAACATCAGGCCATGATCATATATCTGCCGAGAATTCCAACTATTTCTACCTGTGCTATATGAGACCAGTTACCCGAATTAAACTGATTCTGCTTTTCAGCTCGGTGTGACTGTTCGGAATTTAAGTTTTGCATGTTTGTCCCCCTAATAAAAATGAATAATAAAACGAGTCATTCGCAACAAGAATACTCATGGCCATACTCATTTACACATTAAATCATATAGATGATGGTGTTAATATTACACGGCCAAGTTAATTGAAATGTGAATTTTTGATTAAGGTAGTAATGTATGGAACATTTATTCAACATCTGTTAACATTATGTGCATGGAAATGTACATGCTTCTCATTATATCGACTGGTTATTTGTAAGAAAGATGCCTGAAAAAGCGAGATTCATTAAGACAATCACGAATACTTTGATATAATTATAAACGCCCCGAAAACTTCTAAAATTAATCTAATTAAATCCTCCTGATAATCATCTGGACTTTAGTCCTATGTATTTATTCGAATACATATATTTACAAAATTCTAGAAGCATTTTCATATACCAAGTTAATAACTTATATTCGAACAACTTTGTACTCGATGTGAGCCTTCGATACACAATCAAATTTCGAAAACGAACCATTGATGCCGAGTGCTGCGTACTTGAAGAGAGAAAAAATATGTTCGTTTCTTGTTGTTTTCAATACTCATCGAGTATATGTCGAACAAATTCCACATGTAATTCCCTATCGAAAAAAAAAAACAAATGCGAGGCCAAAGTTGACAAGACAGCGGCCCGATTATTTTTAATGAATCGACGTCACATCATTGCAGAAATACCTTTTCCCAGTTCTTTTAAGGCTTTTTTTCAACATCAAAGGCTAACTGCATGTTCTTTACATATACATAAAAAGAAATCTTTATAAAGAGTATTTCATTTGTTCAAAATCGCCAGGTTGTGCTGCCCGTATATTAAAAAGGCTTGTTGTACGATGAGTTCGTCATCGAGTTCGACAAATTATGAGATTGTCGCTCCGATATCCATTCTATTTGCATTCGTCGCTATTGTCATTGCTTTTTTCATCTTAGTACTAGTTGCTTCAACCAAACAATTACGCACTGCATGTCATCTACTAACCTGTAACACATGTTTATCGTCAATCCTATATTGTATTGTTCAATGTAATAATTATATTTATCTTTTGTTCATTAAATCAAACACAAGTGATGATTCGTGTCGATGGCGAGGTTATTTCGGATATATATCCATCGTTGCCGTGGTTTATTCATATCTTTTACAGGCCATATCACGATTATTGTTTACTGTTTTGGCAATGAAATATCGATGGATGACTTCATTTAAAATACATTTTTGTCTGATTATTATCGGCTGGTTTATTGTGTTTCTTATTCCATTACCAGCACTTTTAACCGACGACATCAAATTTCGTTCGGGCTTTTTGTGCTGGGTGCCGCGACAGCATCTTTTACACGCAATATATACAATTCTGCTGTATTATTTGATACCGATCGTTCTGATTATTGCNATGAAACTAAAATACGTTTATCATGTCTACTTGAATTAAAAATCGATTATGAAAGATTAAGAGTAATTACCAAAGATTTTACACGAGAAAGCACACGACATAATTGTGCAAATGTGCAACGATTAATTATTTATAGAGCAATTGTTGGTTCGAAAGATTATTATGATTATTTTCCTTTATTGTAAATTGTTTCCTTATACTTGAATAATAAAATACTATTAATAAATGCTGAAAGAAACAGTTCAAATGTATATTGTTAAGAGAAATCAATTCTCTTTGTTCTGTTGTTGTCGTAGTTGACTTTCGAAATCGGCTAAAAAAAGAAAATAAACTATGTAAGTTAAATTGAGATGTAAAGGAAGTTCTAACTACTGAACATGATCGAGATAATTAACAATATTACACGCAAAAAAACGGTGCTATACGCATGAGTTTTATCCTTTCAGTTCTTATTTTGATGAATTACTCTACTTAACTCCTTCCTGAGTACATTTCGACATACTTTCATATTATCTTTCCTTCTCTCAATGGACGAGTATACAAGAGCTTGTGTTTTGTATCAGAGCGATGCGATTTATGAGAGAAAGAAATAAAAATGAAGGTGTAGTTTCATCAGCGCATACGTCTTTTACATTGAAAATTGTCGCATATCCTTTGTTTTTCAGTTTCGAAAGACAGTACAATAATAATACCAATTTTACCTTAGAGAAAATAGATAGTGTAGAAAAATGATGTTTATATAATCATCAATCATAAAATGTTTAAAAAACAGTTTTATTTTCTGTCGTCTGTGATGTTCGACGGAAACAACAGAAAATAGGTGCGATTAAGAGAGTGAAAAAGAAAAAAAACAGGTGTATAGCAATGCATTGAAAGCTGATACACACAAATAGAAAGCACATTTTGTCTGTTGACGAAACGAGACAGGGAATTCTTTTTGTTATACATTGAATACGATTGTAACGAAGAACGATCATTTACACAAGAGACAAACTTCCGAAAATATCCAAATAAATAAGACTGTCATCTTTAATCGGAAAAATACTTTTCATTAAAGTGTCCTAAACCGAAGCTGAGTTCTCCAAAGACGACACATAAAAATCATGTCCTTCTATACTCGAAGGAAACTTTACTACAAATTTCGGTTCGGTAGATACTCAGAAGAGTGAATCGTCATCCCCTCTCGTTATTTTTTCATACGACTGATATGTTTGGATGCATGAGCAGTAGGCATCGAGTGGTGTTTAACCAGGTAAAGAAAAAAATACTCAATCGAATGTGTACAACGTTGATCTTCAAGTTCGATTTACTTTCGCATTTGAATTTCTGGACACATTTCGACTGATATGAGAATGGTCTGTTTATAACAACTGTCACCATTTTTTCAGAATTCTTTTCGAATGAATATAAACTATATAATTATAATAAGTTGCAAGTATTTATTAGAATCCTTTCATATAAATGACATGAAGACAAATCATGAACGATAATCGATAGTTCAATTCATAAATTATCTTTCAGTCGACTTCGAAAACTAAAGAAGCATTTGCTCATTCGTCTAGAAATATCGGGGATTCATTTCGTGAACTTCTTCTCAAACTGTTTTATGTAAAGTCATCTAATCGGAAAACGAACTTGAAATCAAATAAATTTCAAATTGTACGAATACTCACTAAGGAACGCTTCGTAAATGAGTATCTCCTTTAAATTTTCCAATCGTTTTACAAAGATTAAACCAAATAAATTACACTGTTTCGCAGTGTTCTCCCTCTAATTCATCTCAACAGTGTTTTTCTGATGGAGAACTGACTATAGGATATTAGAATTTGAAGATTTTTAAAATATGAGATGCCGTGACATTATCAAATAATCACTATTTACTTCCATGTCGAAAAGAGAAACTCAGATGAAATGATTTCGTTTTTTTTTCTATTCTTCAATTATGAATACATAGATTATTAAACACTAGAGAACGTCTGACTAGTCTCGGTCTGCGAAGTCATGATGATAACTGACTAGATGTTCTAGGTCGCATTCAACTGAGTATGTGCTGAATCGATTGACATATTTGGTTCGTTTCTTTTTTAGAATCTTTTTTTTTTTTGAAGAAGTGGGTGACACATACTCACTAACACTTTAAAGTCATACTTCCGGCAAACTTAATTAGATCGTTAAACTTAAAAGAAACAGATTCTATTTGGAATTTCTTTTAATCATCTGATAATTAAAACAAAACGTATGAAAAAGACACAGTTAGTACTATAACCAAATAAATTAATTATATACGCGTTAGGTTAACTTTTTCTACTTCAGAAAAATCTTTGTACTTGGAAAGAATCTTGAACAAACTTTATTTGCGAAGTAATAAGAATATCAAAATGTCGTCGTTAGCATTAGCTGCACAGAATCTCTCAATTTATTTGGGTATATTTGCCTTAGTCGCGGGTGTTCTTGGTGGACTTCTCAATACCATTGTTTTCCTTAGTTTGAAAACATTTCGACAAAGTTCATCGGCATTCTATTTAACGATCATGTCAATATCAAATCTTGGAATATTAATAAGCGGTCAACTAACTCGAATATTAATCAGCGGATATTCAATTGATTGGACTCAAACATCTTTGTTCTATTGTAAATTTCGAATATATTCATTACAAACTTTTTCGCATGTTTCATTTGCGTATCTGAGCTTAGCAACAATCGATCAGTATCTCTCAACATGTTCACGACCGCAGTGGCAACAGTGGAGTAACATTAGAGTTGCTCATCGATTGGTTATTTTAGTCGTTTTTCTTGGATTGGCTTGCAACATTCCATATGCAATCTACTATGTTCACAATCATTCACCAATAACCGGTGAAATCACATGCACAAACACAAATGCCATATTCCAACGCTATATGAATTATGTCTCTGGAGTCACTTTGACGAAAATTTTACCGATCGGTTTGATGATCTTATTTGGAATCTTGTCTTACAGAAATATTCAACAATTAGCTCGTCAAACAGTGCCGTTAGTTCGACGTGAATTAGATAGGCAAATAACGATCATTGTTCTCGTACAGAGTGTGATCACTTTCTTCACAATAACGCCTTACATTGTTGTATATTGTCTTCTATTGATATTCAATGCGAATGACTATCCAGCTATTTACAACAATTTACAGGCTGCGAATTCAATTTCCTTTTCCATATATTATCTATATCATGCAGTGAGTGCTGTATTGTATTTCCAAGATGTACATATAAATATTTATTTTTAGAGTCCATTTTATATCTACTTCTGTGCCTCAGCTCGATTTCGTCGGCAACTGAAATATGTTCTGTTTGATGTTCATCTCAATCAACGTTGCCGACGCATCACTCCTGTAAATTAAACAGTACCACAAACTTGCCAGGGTGAAGAATCAGAAAAAGAACATTGTCACTTTACTCACGATGTAATGTTGTTTTGATGCTGTGGCACTTTTTCAAAGTTACTGTAGGAAAACAAGCAAAAACGCTTGCTTGTTAAACTTTGAAAAATATGCCTTTCGAATTTTTCTTCCTTTACCTTAAATATACCGTTTTGAAAAGCACGTTGGTCGCAAACGCAAAGACATACATAATAGTTGAAGTTGATTCCTTTCGAAATATGACACAAAAGACAGGACTATCAGTTCATAAAAACTCACGAATACCACGTAAGATCAATGAAAACAAAGATCAAACTGATTTATAATTAAGCGAACGGAACTACACTGAGAATGGTATGCAAATTATGACTCATTATCCCTTATTAAATAATCAGGCGCATCGTATGATGTTTATTCTTGTGTTTCATTCCATTCTCTATACAGAGACTCGTTAAACTCGATTTGTACAATAATCTAATTGGTGATGATAATGTGCAGTACTTTGCCGACGGATTTCAAAGGAATCATTTCATGAAAAAACTTCCTCCGTATACTTTGTTTAATTGCTCTTTCATGTAGACGCTGCAAGAACTGCTTTTAAGTAATGATCAAATTGGAGACAAAGATGCTGAATATCTTGCGAAGATTTCTTCTAAACACTTGCAAGACTTTGTTTGGATACCAATCACATCAGAGACAAAGATGCTCAATTTCTTGCAACAGGTTTACAGAAAAACAGAATAGGATCATTCACGTTCGTTCGTTCGTACGCGACACACACATATATATTTACATTTCCTCCTTTTCTCTTTCGTCTGATCATACCACGTGGGGCCCCCACGTGTCAACGATTCTTCGATACCGGAACAAATCAAACTAGTATGGCCGGTAAAAGGAATCACCTCAGCAATGTCTTCCTCGTGGACAATCTCATGGACACAAACAAATCAAATGAAGTCTGCTCTTCTCCCAACAAGAAAAGAACAGCACAACATCCAACCGAATGTGATCTCTTAGGCCACACACCTAAGAAAAACCGCGTCGATCCTGAGGAGATCGACACAGACATCAATCAGACAGTCGTCAAACAGGTGGACAAGCACACCACGGCCCCGCCAAGCTCCAATCGCAAGTTCTCTACGGCTTATTTCAACAAAGCCCCGGTAGCAGTTAGTAGAGTCCATGACTCACCATCTTCATCCAATAGAAAGTCACGTGATTCAACAGAACGAAAATTTCCCCCTTTTCGCTTACAATTGGACTGTTCGAAAGACCAGTCAGTATCCGAACTACAAATTATCAAGGCAATCAACAAATCAACCAAACTCAAATGCACGTACGGGCGTTTTACCAAATCAAAGGAGGGACAAAATACCTTTCTATTATACGCCAACACTAATTCTCAATACGAGGTCCTTCTCAACAAAGAGAACTGGCCAAAATCGATCAACAATCTGTCGTACGTGCTCGAATTGCCAAATAAAACACCCGCATCGTTCTCTCTCGTTGTATCAAACGTTCCACCACAGTGGGATGCACTCAGCTTCGGCGAAGACCTGAAATGTCAATATTCGTCGATTATTAGAACTGTGAGAATGTACAGAAATGGTGGCTATCCACTACAAAAAGTGAGAATTGACTTCGCTTCGTTCAAGGAAGTCTCAGATCTTCTCAAGGCTAAGCGTCTGCTAGTGGAAGACAGCAACATCTCGTTTCCTGTCGAACCTTACATACAACCTACCAGAGTACTGCGCTGTTATGTGTGTCAAGCCTACGACGATCACATTTCTGCTCACTGTCCCAACAGGAATGATCCAATTTGTTTCCGCTGTGCGCAACACCACCCACACAACCCAAAGTGTGACAATCCTATTAAATGCCCGCACTGCAACGGCGATCACATGGCAGGTAACCCGAACTGTCCGGCGAAGTTGGCCAAACGCAAAGAGATTAATGCCCTTCGCAAAATTAACAATGAATCAAATGCCGCATCAGCCACGTCCAGTGCAAATCCTCGATCAAGTACCACAAAAAGCTCCACGACTGCGTGGCAAACTACGCCGTCCAGCAATCCGGTGCTGAGTGAAAGCCCGATGAACAACTCAAACGTTGGTGGTCGTAATTACTCGGCTGAAGCTGACTCCTCCACTCAGAACATCATGTCGTTACTTGACAAGATCAACACCTCGGTTATGGAAGTAAATCAGCAACAACAGCACTTATCGAACAAATTCGAATCGTGGGACGAGCTCCTCAACCTCAACCAAAAGAAAACTCAGCTGATCCAACACTGCATGAACGACATGATCATCCCACTCATGTGTGAGATGGTAAATCTTCTCTACTCCAAAGGTAACGGTTCAAACTGCAAAAAACTTCGCACGCATATGGACAAGCTCACGGAATTCGCTGTCAAGCATCTTTGTCCAACGGTGACCGGTGATTATTCAAGTTCTCAAATCGATCCACAGTTTACCGAATTATCGACGACAAAATCTGCCGCCTTCAATAATCATGAATCCTAACGCTCAAGTGTTCTGCCCAACTCCAACAGCTAATCATTTAATACACATCCCGAACCTATCTACATGTCAAAACAAACTACTTAACAACATCATGCGCGAGTGGAGCCAATCACCAACCTTAAATTTATTACTCGAGAATTGGGCGTGTCGGAAATCGACCACTCAAGAGATGCTAAAGGTCAACAGCGACTTACAGATCCTGCTGCTGAACATCAACAGTCTCCGTTTGTATCTTCACGATCTTTTTACCCTAGCAGACTCGTCGCACGCGTCGATCATGGTACTGAACGGAACCAGAAACCACGAGAACTCGATGAAAGAATTCAAAGCTCATTTCTCAAATTACCTCGTCTTCTCTCAACCTGGCACAAACTCATTCGGTGGTGTACTTGTTGCGGTTCATCGTTCAATCCCGGTACAGAGGATTACTTCTTTTGACCATTTTCCTAATCTTTTAGTCCTCGACATTGGTAACCACCTGAACAGATACCAAATCGTCACTTATTATTCGCCGCCTGACGAACGTCTCCCCACGCAGCTATTCGAAAATATATTACAACGCAACTCGAAGACAATTTTCCTTGGCGACCTCAACGCCAAACATCGTTCTTGGTCGGATACACCGGAAAACCAAAAAGGACACATACTTTATCGCTGGATCGCCGAAAAAGATCTACAAGTAGTCAACAAACTGATCAGAACTTCTACGCGCTCGAAAGCCTGTATTGACCTCATCATCACGCCAGTCGAAATGCACACCGGCACCGTTTCGGCTCTATCTTCTATCGGCAGTGACCATTTCCCGGTACTTTGGTCATCCCCTTTATCTTTGCCGGCCAAAGATCGAATCTACCCGATTAAGCGCACTTATTGGACAGTATACGAATTATTCCTGAGCTGGTCGACCAACTACTGGGAGGAGTTGGAGGCAAAAATGACCGACAAAATCGAATTCTTCTCTCTTTGCGAAAGATTCCTGGCTCTGCTTGCCGCAAGATCATCAAACGTGACGTTCAGAAAATCTTACAAACCATCGATCCCGCACATAGCCTTAGAATTAGTCAAATGGAAACGTTACCTCCAATTGATCGTTAGAAAAACGAAACATCCTCGATTTATCATCGAACTCAAGCAAACGGCCCAAGAAGTCAAACGAATCCTGTTTTTACACAAAAGAAACTGCTGGAAGGAATACTGCAAGTCATTTAATTCGGACGACGTGAAACTGTTTTGGCGCAAAATGAGTAACCATTTCAAATCCACGGCTCCGCCGATCGATGGTTTCCATCATAACAACCGCACAATCTCGAATCCCAATGACATGTGCGAACTTGCCGTGGATTTTTACGAGGAACAATTCGCCGCGCACCCTGTCACAAACTCGGAGCTGGAAACAGAAGCAGAAAAAGCTGACAAAGAACTCTTAGAAGATATCAACAGCTCAGCTACTTCGGTTCAAGACTTCAAGCTACTGGACGTGAAAAAAGCAATTGCAGCGTTAAAAAACAAGAGTTCGTCCGGCGTCGAAGGTGTGTCAAATAGAATGATTAAACTCATTCCTACACCTCACCTTGTATTCATCACCAGGCTATTTAATCAAATGGCTCGATTGAGGAAAACACCAAAGCATTGGCAGACTGCCAAGATCATCCTGCTGCCCAAAACCAAGTCCACCTACACCGATCTTAACGACACGCGCCCGATCTCGTTGCTGCCATCTTTCTCGAAACTTTACGAGAAGTTATTTCTCGTTCGACTGCGAATTTGGATCGATGAAAACGGCATATTACCTGATGAACAAACGGGTTTTAGACCGAAACACGATATGTCCACAAGAATCATAGCTCTTCTGGACCAACTTGGTCGCTGCCTATCGCTTAACACGGCTGCTGCCGCGCTCTTCATCGATTACAAAGCCGCGTTTAATCAGCTTTGGATAGGCGGTCTATGGCTGAAATTACAAAGACTGAACTGTCCGACTGAACTTCACGCATGGCTCAGAAACTACCTCTACGAACGGAACGCTTTCATCGAAATAAAGGGACATCAATCAAGGACGTTCCTACAGCACAAAGGCGTACCGCAAGGCTCATGCATTGGCCCGGTACTCTTTATTCTCTTCCACCACGATCTAGTGAATGCGGTTGACAGCGTTCACTCCAAGCATCTTTACGCGGACGACATGGCCGTGATTTTCTCGCCCTCCCCGTACTGGTCCTCGAAAGTCACAAACATCCGACTGGCCAAGCAGGTGGAAAGCACGATCAACAGCCTGCACAGGTACTCCATCGACTGGAAACAACCCATGAACCTAAAGAAAACGTGCTGGACGCTCTTCCACCGCCAAATATCTCCAAAAATCCCAACGGTCTATTGTGGCAATCACACAATCGAACAAGTACCCAAGTTCAAGTACCTAGGAGTTACCCTCGACGCAAAACTGGCTTTCACACAGCACATTGAACTCATGAAAGCAAAGATCAACAGAAATATATCGATCTTCAGGCATCTATCCAGAAATCGTATGCTTACGGAACCGATCGCCTTCAAGCTGTTTCACGCCTTCGTTCGACCGCACTACCAATCGCTACTGAACATCTACCCAATCTTATCCCGCACAAAACAGGATCATCTCGAAGCTTTCAACCGAAGGATGTTCCGCATCACTCTGGGATGGCACGACGCAACAATCTATGAAGTGACGAACGTGAAGCAATATAAATCCATCGGATCGCTCACCAGGACACACTTCAACAACCAACTGGACACGATTCTTCGCACAAACCCAGACATCTTAGTCGAACATCTACAACACCAAATGCACCTGCTCTACTTGCGCGAATATTACCAGAATCCGGCTCTACGCGCCAAGAAACAATTGATTGTCCCCAATGGAAGAACCTCAAACAGAATCAAGAACCTGTTAGCATCGAATGCGAAAAGTCTCCTCGACCTGGTCTTCAATTTCAATTAAATACAAATCACAAATCGACAACTGTCGTCTCTCCAAATGGTTTTTTTTTCGGAGCAAAAGGGACAAATAGTCCGTGCTCATCTCTGTCTCTCTCTTTTCCTCTACTCTACTTCGCGCAAAGTTGTGTTAATGTAAATCTCAACTCTTTTTCCTTTCAACAATAAATAAGTGATGATCAGCAATACACGAAAAAAAAACAGAATAGGATCTGTCCTCTGTATACATTAGCTCATATCTGTGACTTTCGTGTTACTGAGGCACTCTTGAGATTCAATCTTGTGTACAGTTATACTGGACATCAAGGTGTTGAATGTTTTAGAATGAGATTACAAAAAGATCCAGTAGAAGAATCGAGTAAGAGGAAATTGGCTTGAACGTCCTGACTTTCTTGGACCTTTTTATCGTTTATTTTAACCAGGCTTTTGCAAAACTAACCTTGGTCACAATGAATTTGATGTCAAAGGCGAGAAATAAATCGCAAACGAATGTGTTCAACGCCTTGAACAAAGCATAGAAAGTAACACTCTAAGATCAACATCACTTTTCTTATATTCATCACATTGACCGTACATGGACATTTTTCCTACTCAATCATTCCTATAATCAAGTCGGCGATGAAGATGTGCAACATATTGAAATTGGATTACAAAAGAACAAGACACTTATTGGAATCAATCTGTGTAGTAATCAAATCAAATCAAAGATAAAGATGTTTAGTGTATCGGCGAAGGTTTAGAACAGAACACAGTAAGATAAACTTTCTTTTTCTTTTATTATTTCTCGTATTTTTCACAGACATAAGCAGATTTCATCTTCCAACACAAATCGATCACACCGAATTCAAAGCAGTTATTTAAAAAGCTAAGAGAGAAAAGGACGCATTTAACCGTTTCTTTGTAGAGCGCACTGAAATTCAATTAAAATATCATAAGCCCGAACAGCGGAGAAAAAGCTAGACTTTAGTTTCCACCGCGACTGAAAAAGAAGCTGAAGAAACATGTGCTTCGTCCTTTCGATTAACATATTTATATCGTCGTACGACGTAATGACGTGCTTTAGCTCGTCGTTCTCGTCGGAGTCTTTCACGCTCACCTTGTACCGGATCAATACCAAATCCATATTTCAACACATCCATAACGACGACAAAAATAGCTACAACAGCCATAGCAATGATAGCTACATAAGCAAATGTTTTCGAAACAATCTTGTAAATAATAATCCTTGTCGTTGAAAATTCGCAGTAACGCCCATAACTGCCGGCAAGACAACAGCAAGTCCAATTGTTCGATAAAGTTTGACAAACTCCTCGATTCTGACAAGTGATTCCTTCACACTCGTTGATTCTCTTCTCGCACAGACGACCTTCCCATGGCGATTCGCAAGAGCAGTTAAATGTGCTATTTGATGTGGGATTACATTTGCCTGAAAGGGAGAAGAGAAAGTGAAATTACAGTTGAGAAGAAATGTTTGCTCACCAGTATTCCAACAAGGATTTGGATGACATGGACGATCATCGATTTCACAATGAACCCCACTGAAGTTTAGAGGACATTCACAATTGTATCGATAGAGAAGTGTGTTTCGATTATGACAAGTGCCATTATTTAGGCACGGATTTGATCGAGAGCAATATTTGTTGAACACGTCACATGCAGAGCCATACTCGCAGACAGGTACGAAAAAAAGCGAAGGTGGTTTCGTTTCTATACGAAAACATGACTATGGTATTTCTTCACCCGTTGGTAAACTTACTATTGTTTTTGGAAAATATTTCAAATGTCCAGAAGGATGAATCGTGCATAGCAGGACTTAATCGACTGCACTTTGTCCCATCTGTCAGGACACCTCTGCAATGGTTCGTTTGTCAGAAGAATCAAAACAAGATTTTTTTTGTACCTGTCCAATTGAATGTAGTACTCTTCGCCCTACAAATAGATCTCAGAATTACACATAAACCATGATGGATTTCTCACTTCAGTCCAATTGATTTTAGTATCAAAAGTGAATGATCCTTCTGATACACGCAATGCCGTATGATTTGTTTGAACATTGATCGTATAGACCTCTTCATTCGATGATTTCGCGTAAAATCGTATATAAGTGTTCGACCGATTCGACCATTTCATAGACTCACCACCACACCGAAACGTCCATTGACTTTGACTTGAGTTCACCAAGCCAACCGGTGTCATGTTTTCTAAAAAACAAACAAATTTTTCATTCAACCAGTAAATCTATTGTTCAAAAAAAAATTACTAGGTGCATAATTATTGTAGAAATTATCCGAATTTTTACTTGTGTTATTGTTAATGATTGAATATTCGAGACATTTTTGATCACCATATCGCTTATAATTATCGATCTATAATTTTCTTTTTTCGATTTCTATTGCAGCCGTAGGAAAACGTGTACTTACAGGTCGAAGACACACGAAATGAGTCCCTTCGTCATCCGATGTCGGCGTCCATTCGATATTGACTATGAAGAGATTTTGATACTGTTCCGGTGTGCTGACAGTCATGCCTGAATCAAATAGGAAATCAGAAGATAGAACTTATCACCAGTATTTATTTTTTACCTGATGGACCACGAGTTTGAACGTTGTCTATCGTAGCATCGCCGCAACCAGGATTAAAAAACACTTGCTCGGTGAGTTTACTGCACACAGAACCGTTTACTATCGACTCGTTTCTTGATGAGTTCAAATATCGAGGAGCTGAAAATATTTCCAAACTAAGGAAGTTTCCTACGCAGCATGAAAGCATACGGTCATAGCATGTGGTACTTGTTGGCTGATGAACTTGAATTAGGAACTGTAAGGAAGTAGCAGAGAGACGCTTTTCCAGTGATGTTTGTAAGAAATCTTCAATTATTAATGCGATGACTACGGGATTTTTTCTTTTTGCATAATAAGTTAGGGTGCAATCACTTCCATTCAGCTTCGCATTGCGTGGTGGGCCACAAATACTATACAAATCAAAAATAATATTCGTAAAGAAATTCTCAAAGAAGTACGACGAACTCTCCGCATTCGTCAACGTTGTTTTTATTAGCCCATCGGCATCGTACAATATCTCCGTTAGGATCGTGCACAGGAATTTTCCATGTTTGAGTAGTATTTAAGTGTATGTGTTGGATGTATGGCATTGCTGCTTGTGGTGGAGTATTTAACTCGCCTTAATAAGATGAGATTTAAACTCAAACTTGCCGTTCTTTAAGCGTATATCTTACCATCTGACCCACGTTTAGCTGAAAAAAAAGTTGAGATCGACAGTTCGTACTTCTCATCTTCGTTCAATTCTTCACTCCAATAGACGCCTTACGGGAAAATTATTATTGATTTTAATTATGGAAGAAAGGGCTAGTTTACCGCTGTAACCTAGTTCAAATTCTGTATCTTCTGGGATATAAATAGACGACCATTGCTCAATAGCACTCCATTTGTCGTCTTTACTATCAGCAACGCATACATCATGTACCCGTATATGATGAATATAAGACCCGCATTTCTTCGATAAGCATTTAACTTTGCCGTACTTTCCGATCTTAGTCCTGGACTTAAACCAGTTCCAATGATCATTACAATAGTCGCCCTCATATCGTTCCCACATATATCGCTGTATCAAGTTAATTTCGATCCCATGTGACCAGGGCCACGAATATCCACGCTAAATACAGCAACACGCCTATCAACAGATATGTTTCTCAAAACAAACCTTCCATGTCATTGAACCGCCAAGAAAATGTCTTCCATCGATCGGTTGATGGCATAAAAACAACACAACATTACTGAAAACTACTGTCGTTATTATCATCTAAAATACTCTCAACACCGTCAAACGTTTTTTCAAATAAATCACCCAGAGTCAGAATGACAGGATATAGTCATGCGCATATATTCTCATAGATGATTTCTAAAGTTAATAACAAAACACCAATGAAAACAATCTCTCCTTTCATTCTCGCTGGTTTGCTTACAGTACGTGCCTTCGCGTCACTAGACATCATGTAAACTGTCATTTAGACAGAAAGAATCCTCACGTTCAAATTCATCAAACAGCATGCAATAACAGGCATAAATAACAAAAAGAAATATTTGGATTTGCCAACTGCGACAAACCTTTTTTTAAAATTTTTACAAAAAAAGTAATTAATTTCTCATATTTTAAACAAAAACATCAATGCTAAATCGATCCAATGACATATTCTCTAATATTTTTCCTGCTGCCTGTTCATCACATTGTTTCGTTTCGGCAATGATCTTCACAAAACATGTTTTCACTGAAGCACCCAACTTTCTTGCACTTCCACATGTATAAAACCTTGCTCCATCATCATACAACTTCTCGATTTCTTTTCGATCTTCCCACAGCAGATCTTGAACATATTTCTTTCCATCGACCACTTCACGAGAGAAAACACTTCTCACTTCAACTGCACCCACTTTCGTCCATTTGTCCAACTCATCAGCGTACAAGAAATCCTCTCTTGTTCGACAACCATAGTACAGAACTGTTCGTCCAACTTCTCTTCCGCACACCAACTGAGCTGCTCTCTCTTGGATGAATCCTCGAAATGGTGCAATGCCTGTTCCTGCTGCAATCATCACGATCGGCACTCGAGTATCTTCAGGTGGATGAAATCGAACATTACTCGCTCGAATACAACAGTTCATCTTGTCTGATTCTTTCAGATTCGCCAAATAGTTCGATGCCACACCAAAGTATCGTCCAACTCCGCTCAACGACGGACTGTTGATCACATCGATGGTCAATGTCACGACTAGTGCATTCCACAGAGGCGAAGATGAAATACTATACTGACGAATTCGAAGTGCAGGCAACATTCGAAGATATTGTGCAAAAGACAGATCACATGATGGATACAGTTCGAGAATATCCAACACACTCACACGTTTCTCCAGAATCTCGTTCTCATACGAATCTCCAGCAAGATTTCGAAGAGTGATCTGTTCTTTCTCATTGTGACAAACATCAGCAAGAGTTTCGATCTGTCGTTTGCTGATTGGTTGAGCTAACTCGACATAACCACTCAAGATGTCGAATGCACTGATGGGATAGTTGGTTGGAAAGAATGTGCTGGTTGATGATGCAATCTTCACATGAGTATCGCTGGACAGGTTGAATCGTTTGAGAACACGAGAGACAACTTCGATTGGATTCGTGGGTAAAACAGCGAGATAATCACCAGTTCGATAAGTTTGTCCGGTAGGCAGTTGAATCTCGAGATGTCGTTTCATTGGTCCGATTTCATTCGCTTGGACTAAACATTCGTTTTTCATCACAATGCCGAAGTCGGTCATCTGTCCAAGATTTCTCTTCGTATTCACAATTTCGATAGAAAGCTTCTCATCACTGACGACATTCCGATTGTCGGTATGTTGTTGCAATAATGTTCGAAAGAGATCTTCTTTCCAACACTCGAACGCACCGAAGAAGTCACCTGCAGCGTCGCCCACGCCTCGATCGATGATTCGTGTACCACCAGCATTTGCAATCATCTGATCGATATGAGCTGGAATCTTGTGATATGTGTCCACCCAGTCACGATGACCAGCTCCAAAAACGGCATAGTTGATGGGTAAATCGGGTTTGGTTTCGAGATATGCAACGAATTGTTTGGCATTCTCACAGGGTTGTCCTTCGTATGAAGCAGTGATGATGATAACTGGCCGATCGGTAGGAAGATGTCCGACGGCAGAGTCGAGAGTAGACACACTTGCATTATAACCATAGAGAGATGCTTCGGATGCCAGTGTTTCTGCAAACGATTGACAAGAACCAGAATTACTACCAAAGAGAACACACATCGGTCGAAGATGCTCTCGATCTGCTTTTGTTTCGGGCGCTTTCTCTGGCTTCTTTGTTGTTGTTGTTGCTGTTGTTGGCGAGTGGAGTGCGAAACCGATCTGTTGTCGTGGTCGAACACGCATTTTGAAACCATCGGGTTTGATGGTCAATGTTTGTTTGATGCGCAGATCGTAAGAAGGATCAACGAGCTCGAGATGAAAATGTTTGAGAATGAGAGCGACAGCGAGAAGACTTTCTTGCCACGCGAAAGGTCGACCAATACAAGCACGTTGACCATTGCCGAACGGTTTCCATGAGTTAGGTGGAAGTTTCTCAAACCCACCATTCAACATGCGCTCAGGTCGAAATTCTTCAGGTTGATCCCAAACTTTCGGATCACGATGTAATTGAGACAAAAGTATAAAAATGTGATCATTTTGACGAACTTCATAACCACCAGGAAGTGTAACATCACCAACTTTGGATTTTAAACTAAACGCCGGGGCCGTAGGCTGTAAGCGAAGTGTCTCTTTCAGTATCGCGTCGATGTATTTCAATTGACCTAATACATCAATTGTAATTTCACTGAATTGATCGATTTCTGCTTGTGCCTTTTGTAAGACATGAGGATTTTTCAGAAGATAATAGAGAGTAAATGAAAGAAGTCCAGATGTCGTTTCATGTCCAGCAATCAAGAAGGTGACCATTTGATAGCGAATATTTTCGTCAGATAGCTGATAACCAGTGTCAGGATCTTTGCCATTGATCATTCGATTGAGTAGGTCATTGACATCATTTGGATGTTCTCGTCGTTCTTTGACAATATCATCACACAGTTTATGAAGATAGGCAATATCGTCATAATATCGACGTGTCGTATTCACCATCAATGCGTTTTGTAAGGTAAATCGTTGACTGCGTTTACCGCTTTCGACAAGAATGTAAACCATCGCATCAACAAAACGATGCATTGTCTTTTGATAAAAGCTATTAAATCGATAATTAAAAGCACACAAAGCAATGGTATCCAATGTGAGGCGAGTTAAATTATCACAAACATCAATTTCTTCGCCAGCAAATCGTTCCCATCGAAGAATCAATTGGGAAGAAATGTCCATCATCGCGGGAAACATATCCCGAATTGTATGTGGGCCAAAAGCAGGCATCAAGATTTTATGTGCAAGTTTCCAATTAGGTTCCGATGTCGACGCAGTGAAAAGTCCGTCACCGACTGAAGTTCTTAATTCTTGAAGAGCAAAATCAACATGCTTGTCGAATTTTGTTTCGTCGCACAAGAAATTGATAATCTCTTGAGTAGATACGACAACAAGTGCTTTGTCGAATATATTCAATCGATAGATATCACCGTACAATTTCTGTAGCCGAATAAACGAATCCAAAGAGTGATCAGGATCCAGCTCTTTCAAATTACCGATTATAAATGTTTTTTCGGGCTGTGGAATTGGTTTACTCATGATTGCTGTTTACCGAATAATAATTATGTTGAAATTACAGAAAATGTTAGCCACTTTGTTTGGCGGGTGCTTTGTTATTTGAGTACTTTTTCGTTTCTCAATCATTCACGAGTAAAATCGTCGCCTTTTATTCAATACCTCTTTCCGTTCGATGCGTACGAGTGATATGGGTTGTTTTGACACAAAATATACGTATTCAGCGGACGTCCTCAGAATACGTACGAGAAGTACGCGTGCGTTCGTAGCAAATGAAACTCAGGTGAATTATTCGAAAAGCTTTGAATCAGTTAGTCGTACAAGCGCACGTACTTGATAGAACTTATGCGACGTATATATCAAACATTTTTTCAAATGATATTATTTGGTTTGGCACGATCGCTAGAATCTTTTTTTCCGTGCAAATAAACAAGAAGTTTGATCAGAAACGGTTGTCGTACATTCACTTCGTTTCACCTTTTTATTGCTAACGCACGCTGCAACAGAACGAAAAAGTGTCTATTTTTTTCCTTCTATCTGTAGTAGTCAACCATCGGTAACATGTGATTCAATGCTATTCAAATACACACACGTAGTTACTCTTGTCGTGGTAGTTTTTCTTCGTTGAGTCAATGTTTAGCTGTTTACGTTATGGTGTCTTATAGATAGGGACAAACAACCTTATCTTCAGCCCGAAAATTAGATGGCAAATAGCAATCCTTCAATTAAAAATAGTCAGCAGACTAATGTAATCGTTGTCACAGAAGATGATGTAGCATTTCAAACGATTATTTCTCTTGTTGAAAAATCCAACAATTGTAACACATCAACCAATATGGTAAAACGAGTTGTAAGCATTTTCAAATTACATCTGCATAGTATGAATTCTGAAATTATATTTAATACAGATCTCTGAATCAAATGTGGATCACACACCGATTTCAGACAAACGTCGTAAAGCTGATTTGACTTGTATGATATGTGATGGTCGATGTTCAGGATACAATTTCAGTGTTATTTCCTGTGAATCATGTAAAGCTTTCTTTTATCGAAATGCGTCTGAAAACTTGGTAAATAATCAATTATTGTGATAATTCACATGCTTTTGCTATCTCTACTCGATAGAACGTTCTAAAATGCCTAAATGGCACTAATGATTGCAACATAAAGTGCAACAACAAACGTAAAATGTGCAGACGTTGTCGACTTCAGAAGTGTTTGTCAGTTGGTATGAAATGTGCGTCGAACGCCGACCAACGATTGAATAAACAACGACATATAGAAGAGAACCGACGATTAGCTACTATGCAATCGAGTGTGACAATTATTCCTCTCGAGGATATTGATGAATCAACAGATGAATTTGCAACAGCGTTGATTGCGCAAAACGTAAACAAAACTGTCGACATCTTTTCTCTCATCACATTCATCCCTGTTATTTTAGAAGTCAACTGTGGAACGACCTGACACTACTCACCAGTACTTCCTCGCCTTCAATGATTTTAATCGTATTAACTCACTTACACGTTCCTATGAAAGAGCTTTTCGATTCTCAACAGTCAGATATGATGCATCTGTGTTCGATCGTGTAACCGACCGACGTTCGGGATTACTTCATACAACATCGATCTTCTACGATATGGGTATGCAATTGATTACATTTATTCGAAGTATTCCAGAATTTGAATCACTCAATGAACAAGATCGATTTATCTTGGTGAAATATAACGCTCCTCTGACACTTTACGTTCGTTTATGCCTACATTATGACCTACAAAAGGAGCTTGTGATAGTTTCTGAAGTTGAAAATGAAGAACATGCGGCTGTTTGCAAAAAATTGTGTTTGTATTCGTTTGGAAATCAGATAGAATCGTTATCGACTGAGCTATTTCGATCGATCAAGAAGATTACTGGAGACGATCCGGTGATTTTTCAACTGATGTTGGTTATATTAACATTTACTAAAAGTGTCACAGCTGAAGATCTTATCATGAATGATCAACCGGTTCTTGTGAATAGCAAACAAGTCTATGAGATACAATCCATCTATACCAATCTTCTCTTTCGCTATATGCTTCAAAAATATTCGACGTATAATCAAGCAACACGTCAGTATTCAAGATTGATACAAAAGATACTTCAAATACAACTCTTAGTACGAACATATCAAGAGTTTTTACACGAGCAGCTAGTTGACACCGGGGATGATGAAATAAATCCGATTATAAAATCAATATTACGTCTATAAGCGAAAATATTTCTTTGTAACTTATTCGCCACGATACGCTTCGAGGACAACGAAATCGTGGTAAATGGTTTAGTCTTGTGTAGTTTACTTTTAATAAAAACCTACGAAAGAAAGGCCTTATTGTCTGTTCACGTGCTCTAAAGAGAGCGCCAGAGATTTTATCCAAAATGAACTCAGCTCAACAAGTAATGTTGATGATTGTGCCATCGAGATACCTCGCGCTGTCGTTTATTTCGATGCAATTTCATGAGGTTCGATACGTGGAGTGTTCTGGGTTGGTTTCGTTTGAAGCGGCAAATTTTCGACAAAGTGTATAAATAAAACGTTGGTGAATGTGTAAAATACGTCATTTCGTCTTAAGTCTTGCTTGTCAGATTTACCTGTGCAAGTCTCGAAGTATCTTTCGGGATGTTTTCCGTTAGCGAAATATAAATTCGACGGATTAAAAATGGTAAAGTGGCGATAACGATAACACATACTTGACTTGCTAACATTCTCGATAATTGATTGTCGGTTCGCCAGATACTTCGTTGATTTTTAGATCCAGTTGATGACACAACTTGGCGCTGGTACCGCATCTGACTATACTTTTTGCTATTTTCAATGAACTGTGAAAATATCGGTCAATACACGCAAATACAATTGACCAACACGATGTTGTCCGAACCGAAAAAGAGAGAAAAAGTTTGATTTTACATACGACAATGTTGTATTATACAACTGCTATTGTCACTGTATTGATTTGATCGATTAGCACACTGTTTGATGACACGGTTTTTATTTGGAATCTGGAAGAGATACACCCCATGCGTAGTAAAACAAATTCCGAGACGCTATTCGAAAGTGGTTTCAGTATAAAAGCAAAAATTGCAAAGTCACTGTGATTTTATAGACACTTTTCAAATATGTTGTTCGCATTGATTGAATTTTTTCGGCTATCTTGTGCGAATGAATGACTTTCATGTTTTTTGAAAGTGTACAAACTGATCGAAGATTAAAGGAAATTTGTTTGTATATAGGTTAGCTAGAGAACAATCGCAGATGTGAAGAGCACGAATTTGGAAGGTGAATCATCTAGGAAATGAAAACATAATTTTTATCCACAGAACAGATCATCTAATTAATCCCATTCAAGAGACTTTCACACAATCACTCTTCAAGCTTTTCTCAAAATGAAAACTAATCTATCTTCGAATTTGAGATACCAACAATAGAGTCGAAGTATAGTGTATTACTATCTACTAAATCTCTTATGGAATTGTAGGTTTTAAAAGAGAACTGTTTAGATTTACGAACCACGCAACGTTTCCTCTAGGCATAGTTTCGAAACTTTTTCTAATCTTCGTAGAACATCAAAGAAAATCCTTTCAAAGCAGATGAATGCAGATTCTGTATCCATGCTCAAAGACCTGAGATAAAAAGCTTGGAAAACTTTTCTATTATCTAAAACTGCTTCTTCGGCAGTTCTTTGTTCAAATCGGTCGCTTCATGTCAAATTGTTCTATATCACCATCCATAGCTTGGAAAAACAAAATTTGTCTTTGATTTCCAGCCCTAAGCATGGACCTATATGCAGTAGAAAATCAATGATTGACAATGTTTTACGTCACTGATAAACCGGCATTATATAATAGAATGTTTGCAATGCTCCACACAACATAATTTCTGTTAGTTCCATTCGAGATGATCAAAACTTTCGAGGAAGTCTTCACGAGAAATGTAAACTGTTCTTGATCGTTCTCCATCATCGAATGCGATAAACATTCAAGTTTAATTTAATATCAAACAATATTTATACTTTCTCAGACAGACGCCTTTCATTTGTACAGTATAATTCTTTTGAGATTTGACATTTCAATTAGATTCATTCTACGTCGATTCCATCAATCAGTGATTTATTGTCCAATTACATATCATTTCACAGCCTCATCCTCGAGAATAACGAGCCATGAGATATCCACTCAACATAAACAAACTTATTATTTTCACTATGAATGAAGGAATATTGCACCTTCACGACCAACGAATTGAATAATGAAATATTTCAATAAAAGCTTTTTCGTTGTTTACCATCGTTTGATTTTCTTTTCAACTAGACGTATTGACATTTCATACAATGACAAACTGAATCTTAAGTAACCGATGAAGAGAAAAATATCATAGCATCTGACGATGGTTTCAATGTGTTTTTTTTTCTTTTCTAAAAGTGCAATCATTTTCACATTTTTCTTCTTCCCACTATTCAAGAAAGAGAACTAAAAACGATTGTGAATGTGCATAACTGTAACCATTGGTAAAAACAAACACTCTACCAACAGTCTTTTGTTGTTGTGAGAAGTTTTAGAAAGTTTCCATTGACGAACAGTGCTGATAATCATGGGTTGCTCAGACTCGAAAAGTGCAGATGTGTTACAACCAGCAAGTGATGAGTTGGATAACATGAAGGCGCGACTTACACAACGCCTACTTAGTCGGGACGCAACTAAAACACATAGTAAAAACGCCTTTGCTGCGTAAGTTACGTTTAGTTTGTATTTACCTGATGAACCAATATGAGTTCGGACTCTGCTTCTTCTCTAGTGTTTTGAACAAATATCCGGATGCGAAGAAAGTCTTTCGCGTTCCTGAAACTACTAGTGCCGACACACAACTCGTCGATACCAAAGAAGTGAAAGCAGCTAGTGATAAGATTTTGAGCCACTACATGGATCTGGCGAAGACGGCCGACAGTAATCTCGACGATGCCATTCAAAAGAAAGCTGAAGAACTTAAGAAGCAAGGCGTCAAAGCCGAACATGTTAAGGTAAAAACTCTGCCGTGATTATGCAGCATCTCATTGTGAAATCGAGCGAAAAGAAAATCTACGATATATTTTTCGTTTCAGTGTTATGGAGAAGCTCTTGCACAAAATGCAGTCAAAGATACGGACAATAAGCTGACTGCTGAAGAAGAGAAAGCCTGGAAGAATTCGGTCAATAACATAACAGCCAAACTTACTGCTGCTATGAACAAATTACCTTAATCATCTTGCGTCACTATCGTCAGCAACAAGCAAAAGACACGTCTAATTCTTTTTGTATCAAAATGAAATATATTACTAGATTTTTCTTTCCGACAACAAGATAAAAACTAGAAAAGGATGAAATGTGCACCGATGAATTAGATTGTGTAATAAGCATTAAATATTTGAAATTTCGACGAAGATATCGGTCTAGTCGATTGTACTGATATAGAGATTAGATGCAAAATAAATACACATACTCTGCCATCGTCTTCATCTTCAAAACACGAAGTATATGGATAGAAATCCTCTCTCAAAGTCATTCTCATGTTGCATAATGTAGGAAGCGACCAAAAATCTCAGTGGAAATTTGCAATGTACTTCGTGCTTTGCAAAATCATGTTAATATCTTATAGGAGTGAGTTAGTGGTACAGATAAATTTATCTACTATGCTTTCGTATGTTTACTCACATTTACGCTTACCCAATAGCTGGGTACTTCTTGTCAGTACGTACGTGACAAGCAAGTTACATACGAGATTCATGAGTCTTCAAAGCTTTATGCAATGTGTAATTATGATTAATATTTCTTTTCAACAGCTACAGACTATTAGCTACAATGATGCAGTCAAACCTATTACATGAATAACAACAGAACAAAAGCAAATTTTTTAATTAAGAAGCGCGGCATTTTGCACTGATAGATCCTCCAAAGCGGCACATATGTTATGGAAATATTCATCCAACTGATTGTGAATTGTAACATTATGTCTAAATGTCTCGCGAAGACTATAAATGTACTTCTGACTAATCAACAACAATTCTTCATTCAGCTTTTCAAAGATACATATGCCCACAGTTCGCCCATTGAGTTGTTGTTGATAGAAATCGATCCAATCTTGAACATAAAATTGCTTATCAGCGTGACAGAAAACTGACAAATTTTGAAGATTATTCGACATATCGAAACCATCTCTCAGCCATTGATACAGATTATCTTCATATGCATATAATGTATGGTCCAGATGAGGGTTATTCCTAATGTAAGTTCGACAGTTTTGACTTTGAAGAAAGACTTGAATGAATGCCAATAGATTAGCATGAGGTATTGGTATAATAGGGAATGCGGTTGACGTTTCACAAAGTAGCAGAATGCATTCTGTAGCGCGTTGAAAGAGATTGCCGTCGAATTGAATATCGGAAATGGTATACATCTACAATAAAATATGATAAAAATAGGATCTAATCGTGCTTACATGATTTATTTTCAAAGTTTTATATAGTCCTCAAAGTTCTTTTAGAATACGCTGGAGTCTGGCGGCTTTATTGAACATATCTTTAGCTGATGTTGTATCTTTTACGGCGCTGCAAGTCGGACCCAATCTGCAGTAGTGAGCAGCGAGATCCGATAGTAATTCAAAGCAAAGATTATTATAGCTGTTAATCACTTTTGTTTGACGTTTAGCAGAAACGTGTCCATAACGATAAACATGTTTAACTTTTTGATGATTTAGAAAATCAGTAACAACTGAGTTATCGTAATCCCCACTAACAATAAGGAATACCGTGCCATTCAGTTTATTTGCACATTGATAATTAAGAAAATCCACTTCATTGTTAAAGATTTTAAATAATGAAACCACATCACACACAGTAGTTCGCAATCTATCCACTTCAGCATCATGTACTTTTGAGTTTAGCCAAATCACCACTACTACGGTATCAACGGACGGTGTAACACTACATTTGTCTGAGGAAAAGGACGTGTAAGCCGTCTGTTGCTTTTCATAGATTGTATTGGCAAGTTCTTCTTTCTTTTTTGCCATCACAATATCGCCAGATGCTAAACATTCGTCTGCTTCGTGCTTATAAACCCGATACAACTCGTTAGCTAACTGAAACATGAGATGTTCACCAGTAGCAAATCGTTGTCGATTATCAACTTTGGTCTTGTCATCTTCCAAAATAAATGTTTTTTCTACTAGCTTCCAAAAATATCTGCGTGAATTGACAAACTGGCTACTCGCAAAAAGAAATGTCTTCTTGTCAGATAATTCATTATAATAAGTATTGAATGAATTGTTAATAATAATGATGGAGTTTGTAATCGTTCCCATCGATTGTAACATAGCATGAGCTCGCGGACTGATGCGGTTTGTTATATCCACAACAAGACATTCAAACTGTTCAAGATTATCTTTCAAAATTGTCCATTGTTTACTTATTATTCTATGAAATATAATTGTACATACTTGGTCGGCTCAAAACATCGCGTTGAAATAGTACTGATGATTGGCAGATACTGTGGAGATTCGTGGGCATTTCAGGAAAATATTCAGTTCCAGAATTGATCATTTTGTCGGACTCGCATAATAGACATTGTTGTAAGCGACTCATATTCGAATCGTCGATAATTATTTTTGAGTACATTTGAAGTTGCGATCTGATATTCTCAGAAATATTCCTAGGATATATATAGATAGAATCCACGCTTGATAATTTGTGAATGCGAGGTACTATATATTGAGCACAATCAGCAGAAACGATTAAAAATACTCTTTCTGTACCATTGTATTCGGTGAGCCACTGTTCGCATTGGTCATTGTTCTTAAACAAGTGAGTACGTGGCACCATTGGTGTCAGACGTTTTAGTTTTATCTCAAATAAATTATCTTGGCTGACATCCGAGGAAATCCAACTGAGTAACACTTGTTTTATCATGGGTTTCTCGTCAGGTTGACTAAGTGGATGAAATTGTGAAAAAAAAATGATTAACGTGAGTACCATTATTTAAAAAAAGTAACAGCATATAGAAAAATGATCTACTTTATCCAGCATAAAACCTATGATTTCTGGTAAGTACTTGTCCATATTTTCAAATAAGTCTCCTTCGGTATTCTTGAAAGAAGAATGTCTCACTTGTGCGTTCTTTGTCAAGTAAATGCGAAGAAAGAAATAAAAATTTGTTTGTTCGGGGAATAAGTGGAAAACGTAGTACATAGCATTTGTTATTTTAACAAGCACAGCGTTGAAAGCAATTTCACCGGTAATGGAAAAAATCTTATGTTGGGAAAAATCTTTTGCGTTCTTTTCAACTTGATTGAACAGACTATAACAGAAAGTCGACTGACGTAAATTAAGGAAAACTGTAATTGCGTATGAAAGAAATACAACGGTCCGCTAATAGCGAACCGCTCTCCTCATCCTAACAATGAAAGTGTCGATGTATTGCGACTGCACAGACAAATATTTGATGTGAACAGTGGTGACCGAGGACACAAGCTCATTTGATATCTACTTTATTCAGTTAGCATATACATTTACTAGTGAAATGAAATACACTGATATTTGAATGTTTTTCTGAAAGCTTGCCTATGGACTAAAGATGGATGCCTTTGACAGCACTATTTTGTTTCGTTTTCATCTAAATATGATTGTGCGACACTTCGTGGGCGATCAATTTATTATTGTTGGATAGGTTGCTTTTGGGGGTGTGGGTGATGCTTGTAGATAAGTTTTGTATGCTGCAAGGCAATGAAGTTATAACACAAACCAGTGCCTGAACAATGATCAACGATGTTGTCTTGGTGCTTGGCGGCCCAAGTGTTTAACTTGAATGTAAGTTAAATAGCCAAAGACAGTTAACAAAATGAACGGAACGAAGGAATAAAACACGAGAAGGAGGAAGTAAGCGAGACCATGTGTAAAATCTTTCGATGGCAAAACGTAAGATGTAATAGCAAACGAACTCTGCATGAAACAAATAATGAAAGTATTTGTCAGCTTTGCTCTCAAACTTATTTGTTCATATTTTCTCACCACGACGACAGCATTGTAAAGCATTTGAGATATTTGCACGAATGACCATAACAATGAGTTTATAATAAAAAATACGCGTATAAGGTAGCAACAAATGATACGCCAGTGACATAACTTCGACTTTTACAAACCGCTGGATTATAGAAGAATAAATCAATACATCCTTGTACTGTGAAACTGTTTGTCACTATTCGATAAGCAAGTGTAATACAGAAAAAAAATCATATCCCAAACAGTTGCAACGAAGTTTTTTCTTTAAGAAAACTATTAGCAGTACAGTTAAACATCTAAAAGTGTCAACAACAAAAAAGATACAGACGATCTGATCGACATATTGAGCATATTTAATAAGATCATTCAGCGATGGCGCCATCTTCGATTTTGTTTGCGAAATGTTATTTTTCTCCATATGTTTACGCGTTATAGAGTTCTATAAGGTAGACTGTCATTATATACCTGCTAGTTTTCTCTCGTATTTTCATTTAATAATTATAAAGATTCTATATCCGCCTTACACTAAGAGTAATATTTCGAAGAACTACGAAGACAACAATGTAAAGATCGAACACTAATCCTACATTACTATATCGCATTATTGATCGAATGCTACGAAAAGTACCTACGAGCATCAGTAATTAAGCCTTTTTGGCTCGAAGAGATCGTACTCATTGAATATAATGAATATGCTAAAATCCAAGCATGCCAATAGATGCAAAGCAGAAGATCAGCAAGGATCGTAAATAAAAATATGTTATTCAAACTGACAAGTATTTCACGGCCACGAGATTATAAACAAATAACTAAGTATATTGACCTATCAGAAATGACTCTGAAGACCCTTTTAAATTTGACAACAAAGTTTAGAGAATGCAATCCAAATATAGTTTGTATAGTTCAGAAAAAATGATAGCCTTGGACTTGCTTTAAGTCTCCGAAATGATAATCTCAATCCAGATATTATCTTCTATTGACGTTATGTTGTTTACCTCGACATTTTGACAAACAAGAATTGTGCACTTTAGTACTGTGCCACACTTATGTCTATTCAACAATTTTCGGCTCAGATTTTAATTTCATTATATAAGATCTATAACTCTTTCATTTAAAAAGAAGAACTAGATTTTTTATACATTGAGAGAGACGATATCCTATACGTAAAGTAATTATCAATTATCGATTTGTCCATCATTGAAGCACTGAAATCATACCATAACTTTGTCTTTCTGACGATTTAGAATGTCAGCTCTTGCATTAATAATCAATGCTCATGATTGAGATAATTGTGCAATTGTACTACTCCGTCGTGACAGTGGCGAATAGGCCCTTATATTTGTTTTTCTTTGAAGCAGTTGAGGCGTGGTGGAAGTGATTATACGATATCTTCAACAGCTAGCAGAAGACACATACGACTGCTCTTTATATCTGTGTTCAATATTAAACTCGGTGTTCATAACAGCGGGAGTTAGTCCAGTTTCAAAGAATGGTTGATACTTTTCAAACGATGCGTTATATGTTGCTAAAATTAGCAACTGTTTCTGAATGCCAATTTGGATTCATTTGTGTTTTATAAAATATGTTGTTGCCTTATAGAAGTACAATTAATCTTTCCTGGCGATAGATGTTCTACTCTATGTTGCATCCTGTGTAAGATTTTATTTTAGTGAACCTTAGATCTTTTTATTATACGTTGTGTAAATAAAAGAGAAAATGGCAAAAGAACATCAAACTGGAAAAGTGTTTGAACTAGAAGACTACCGATATGTTAAATATAGCATCGAGGACAACAAAATAAATATATAAGAGAACGAAAATTGCTTTGACATGCAGAGAAAGTCGGGCGTATCTAAATTCAACTGATGTGTAACAACTATGCCACTCATCAACTTAGACGTAAGTCTTGAAAGTGTTATCCTACTTTCTAAAGTTCCTCTCTCCCTGTTTGATTGTCTGATGAGTGTTTCTTAAATAATCATATAGTTTGAAACATATTTAACACCAGGCCATGATCATATATCCGCCGAGAATTCCAACTATTTCTACCTGTGCTATATGAGACCAATTATCCGAATTAAACTGATTCTGCTTTTCAGCTCGGTGTGACTGTTCGGAATTTAAGTTTTGCATGTTTGTCCCCCTAATAAAAATGAATAATAAAACGATTCATTCACAACAAGAATACTCATGGCCATACTCATTTACACATTAAATGAAATAGATGATGGTGTTAATATTACACGATCAAGTTAATTGAAATGTGAATTTTTTATTAAGGTAGTAATGTATGGAACATTTATTCAACATCTGTTAACATTATGTGCATGGAAAAGTACATGCTTCTCATTATATCGACTCGTTATTTGTAAGAAAGATGCCTGAAAATGCGAGATTCATTAAGACAATCACGAATACTTTGATATAATTATAAACGCCCCGAAAATTTCTAAAATTAATCTAATTAAATCCTCCTGATAATCATCTGGATTTTAGTCCTATGTATTTATTCGAGTACATATATTTACAAAATTCGAGAAGCATTCTCATATACCAAGTTAATAACTTCTATTCGAACAACTTTGTACTCGATGTGAGCCTTCGATACACAATCACTTTGATAAATTCAGTGATACATAATCAAATTTCGAAAACGGACTATTGATGCCAAGTGCTGCGTACTTGAAGAGAGAAAAAATATGTTCGTTTCTTGTTGTTTTCAATACTCATCGAGTATATGTCGAACAAATTCCACATGTAATTTCCAATCGAAAAAAAAACAAATGCGAAGCTAAAGTTGACTAGAAAGCGGCCCGATTATTTTTAATGAATCGACGTCACATCATTGCAGAAATACTTTTTCCTAGTTCGTTTAAAACTTTTATTTAACATCAAAGGCTGACTACATGTTCCTTATATATACATGAAAAGAAATCTCTATAACGAGTATTTCATTTGTTCAAAATCGGTAGATTGTGCTGCCCGTACACTAAAAAGGCTTGTTCTACAATGAGTTCATCATCGAGTTCGACAAATTATGAAATTGTCGCCCCGATATCCATTCTATTTGCATTCGTCGCTATTGTCATTGCTTTTTTCATCTTGATACTAGTTGCTTCAACCAAACAATTACGCACTGCATGTCATCTACTAACCTGTAACACATGTTTATCGTCAATCATATATTGTATTGTTCAATGTAATAATTATATTTATCTTTTGTTCATTAAATCAAACACAAGTGATGATTCGTGTCGATGGCGAGGTTATTTTGGATACATATCCATCGTTGCCGTGGTTTATTCATATCTTTTACAGGCTATATCACGATTATTGTTTACTGTTTTGGCGATGAAATATCGATGGATGACTTCATTTAAAATACATTTTTTTCTGATTATTATCGGCTGGTTTATTGTGTTTCTTATTCCATTACCAGCACTTTTAACCGACGACATCAAATTTCGTTCGGGCTTTTTGTGCTGGGTGCCGCGGCAACATCTTTTACACGCAATATATACAATTCTGCTGTATTATTTGATACCGATCGTTCTGATTATTACGATTTATGTTTCGATTTACCTTCGAGTTCATTCACATACAAACAATAACAATACACTTTTACAAGATCGACCGGCGCGAAAGAATCGTGACTTAGAAGTCTTACGTAATATCGTTATTTTATTTAGTATTTATATTCTCGGAGCGTTACCGTTGATACTGTATATGTTGACAAACGTGGAATTCTTTTATTCAGTTGGAATTATAAGTATTTCATTTACAGTCATGGTAGAAAAGTCGGCGTCATTATTCATTGATCGAGACATTCGAAATGCTGGAAAAAAATATTTCGGTCAACGTCGAACTCAAGTTTCTCCACTTGCGCTCAATATTGCTACTATTGCGAAATGAATGTCAAAGTTCAATAACGAGAATTCTTTTGCCTCTCTATGTTGTTTTCAATGTCGCACCTTTCTCTTTCAAAAAAAAAATTATTTATTTCTTCCCCCATTGACGCACGTCATAATGGCAACATCAGTTACTTGTAAGCAACCATGCATTAAATGCGACAAAGCGGGAGGGATTGCAAGTTGTGCAGGATGTCAACAATGATTTTGTATGAAACATTTCAGTGAGCACCGACAAGAACTTTCCATGGAAATGGACCATTTAATTGAAGAGCACGACTTAATTCAACAAGACTTACTAGAAAGTAAAAATAGCGAATATCAATGATTGGGAACAAAAGTCGATTGAGAGGATTCAGATCGCAGCTGAACAAGCAAGAATCGATGTAAAGAAATATCTAGACGATAAAAAACAGCAGATGACGGTTTCATTGCATCAGATAACGGAAGAATTAAAATCAGGCCGTCAATCAGACGACTATATCGAAATTGAATTGAAGAAATGGTTGAAGCAGATCGAAGAGATCCACGAATTATTGAATAAACCATCAAACATTCGCATGTCTGACGATCATGACTCACAATCATCCATCCATCTCATACGTATTGCATTAGAAAAAAGTGTCATTTCGAAAAATATTTGTAAACGATGTGCTCGCGAATTCACTGTCGATAATAAGTCACAGCGGGACATGGCATGCAAAATATGAAGATTGTTCATATTTGAAATGCGGCTTCCACTTGGGAATCAAAGCATCTATTGGTAGAGAACATTGGTCTTGCTGCTATTCACTCGTCAAAGAATCAACTACTTGTGATCAAAGCGAACCACATGAAGCTTAAGAAACTTTTTTTTTCTAAGTAACTGTTTATTTACCACAATCAAAAGTAAATAAATGAATTCATTTCGTTTATCACATAACGATAAGACAGGTGTGCATTCAGACGAAAAACAACTTGGTCGATGTTTTTTTCCAACTAAATTCAGTCACGCGCGTGAAGCGAATTCATGTTCACATTCAAATCATCAGATCTTCGTCAAAATTTTCTAATATCATGAATTTGATTAGGAATTATGTCAGAATCAAAAAAGTGAGAGAGGTTGATACAGCTGTAATAAAAAAATAGATATTTAATTATTATCTTGTTGGTTTCTACCATCTAGAATATATTATATCGCTCTTTTTTTTATTTTTAAAACTCAAACATCTGATATATTGGATTATTATTTCAGGTCACATCACATGTTATCTATTAGATCAGATCGATTTTTGAATGCGATACCAGGTGTCACTGATGAACAATTTAAACATAGTCAATTCCTTAAATTTTACAATCAAACCGAAAAATGCCCTTCATCAGATTCCGTGATAGACGGATTGATCGGTTTAGGGATTATAAATGATCGTTCACACGCGATTTTAACAGCCATTGAAACTGAACCTGATTCCTATAATATTATCAAAGTATATTCATCTGATTTTTATCTTGGCTCGAAAAAATTCTATAAATATATTAATGAAGAACTCATGAATGACAATGAAGATACGTTAGGAAAGTTAATGCCGTTTATTCGTCGAGCTACAAGTCAAATTAATCATCATGATATTGATAGAGGTGGTATTTTGTATCGTGGCATGAATTTGAATGAAGAACAACGTAACTTTTTTTCTATTGGAAAACTATTTCGATTTCCTGGATTCACAACTACAACGGAAAATATTGATGTTGCCAGACGATTCGGTGATACATTGTTTGAAATACACGTAAATGCACCATGCCATCAAGTGGTACATATGGCTCATATTTCATATTACAAAGACGAAGAAGAATGGTTGTTTTCTCCTTATTCACGTTTTCAAGTAAAAGAAATAATTGAGGAATTCATTATTTTACAATCTGTTGATAATTTAGCATCTATTGAAGATGAATATTATGTAAGTGATAGTGAACAGAGCATTTCATATGACTGCAGCATAAGTGATACACGCAGTGCTGAATATCCAACAAGTGATACTCGTAACGAATTTTCAGATTACGAACAACGAAGTTATTCACAACAAACAGAAGACAGCTATACAAGAGATGATCAACGAATAGATGTATACGATAGTAGAGACGATATTTCCGTCCGAACATCAGATTCTCCATTATATGTTAATCAGAACACTGCGTTCGATGAAGATTTCGAATATGCTAATAATGATAATCGTAATCAAAACTACTTTTCAAATTACATCGACAATAATTTTGAGGGCGATGACGTGACATATGATGGAAGAAGTTTTGAACAAACTGTCTCAATTGGCAACGATGGAATATCTACAGATGATAGTCAATACAGTTCGCTTACTTCTTTGTCTTATTCATTGAATTGTATGAGAATGATATCTAACTGCTTTTGCTGTTTCTTATGTATGCCACGATCCACACTTCCTTCAAGCCAAACAAGCTCTTCGTCAACTCATTCTGATACAAGTGTATCCTCTTTTTAAATGAATAGGTTTGATGGAATTCAGACATTCTGATCTTTATTGTTTTTAAACAATGTATCTGATAATACATACAATGAAAATTGATCCCGTCTCCTCACTATTCTTATAACTATATCTTCAACAATTTATTAATCATTACTATATACTCTGTTCGTCGGCCCTGATGCCATTTCAGAACCAGCGGAGACATTTCTCAAACAACAATAGAACAAAGTATCGATCTGAGCAACTGTTGTTTCATAATCGCGATCGTTCTTTAGGCGGCTGTAATTACAGCGGAACATGCCATGCAAAATACGAAGATTGCTCGTATTTCAAATGTGGCTTCCGTTTTTGGATCAAAACGAATCACATGAAGCTTAAGAAACTTTTTCTTACTAAGTAACTATTTATTTACCGCAATAAAAGGCAAATAAATGAAATAAGCTTTCGAATAAATGCATTCATTTTGCTTATCACGCAAATACAAGACAGGTGTGCATTGGCACAAAAGACAACTTGGTGGGTATTTCTTTCCAACTAAATTCTTTCACATACGTAAAGCGAACTATAAATCATTTGATTATATAGATATTCGTATGGACAGAATGGCGAAATTGATGTTTACAAAATTGGATGAATTACAAAATCATGAAGATTTTACTATTGTTTTACTTCCTGCGCAGAAAAGTCTACCATATGAAGAAAATATCGTTGACTATTTCAAGAAATGCTGTTCATTAGAAGCTTTTAATGATTACGTGAACACAGTTCAAAGTGAACGTAAAATCCTTCTTATTTTGACGAATTTCTTTGACGATCTATCAACATTTCATCAATTCCGTCAAATTCATGCAATATACATCTTAAATTCTTCTTCCCAACCAATCCAAATCGACAAACAAACCTATTCCAAATTAGTAGACATTTTCACAGATGAATTCGTGTTAATTGAACAATTACGTCAAGATATTCTCCTTACATACATAAGTGATTTCTCAATCGATATTTCCACTTTAGAAGATATGAAAAATCAACAAAGCTTAACTAATTTAGATAACACAGCACTCATGTTTTTGTGGAATCAAGCATTTATTCATTATCTAGTGAATTCTCCTTTGTTACCAATGGATATGAATAAACTCAAAGAGAAGATGTTGCGTCAATGTCGACTGGAATATCCAACAAATAAAGCTCAATTTATCACGATTGATAATTTTGAAAGGAATTTTATATACGACGATGCAGTGAAATGGTATACCAAACCATCGTTTGTCTATCGTCTGGTAAACAAGGCATTTNAAGAATCGTGACTTAGAAGTCTTACGTAATATCGTTATTTTATTTAGTATTTATATTCTCGGAGCGTTACCGTTGATACTGTATATGTTGACAAACGTGGAATTCTTTTATTCAGTTGGAATTATAAGTATTTCATTTACAGTCATGGTAGAAAAGTCGGCGTCATTATTCATTGATCGAGACATTCGAAATGCTGGAAAAAAATATCTTGGTCAACGTCGAACTCAAGTTTCTCCACTTGCACTCAATATTGCTACTATTGCGAAATGAATGTCGAAGTTCCATAACGAGAATTCTTTTGCCTCTCTATGTTGTTTTCAATGTCGCACCTTTCTCTTTCAAAAAAAAATTATTTATTTTTTCTCCCATTGACGCACGTCATAATGGCAACATCAGTTACTTGTAAGCAACCATGCATTAAATGCGACAAAGCAGGAGGGATTGCAAGTTGTGCAGGATGTCAACAATGGTTTTGTATCAAACATTTCAGCGAGCACCGACAAGAGCTTTCCATGGAAATGGACCATTTAAGTGAAGAGCATGACTTAATTCAACAAGACTTACTGGAAAGTAAAAATATCGAAGATCGTCTTCTGGTGAATATCAATGATTGGGAACAAAAGTCGATTGAAAAGATTCAAATCGCAGCTGAACAAGCAAGAATCGATGTAAAGAAATATCTAGACGATAAAAAACAGCAGATGACGGTGTCATTGCATCAGATAACGAAAGAATTACAATCAGGCCGTCAATCAGATGACTATACCGAAGTTGAATTGAAGAAATGGCTGAAGCAGATCAAAGAGCTTCAGGAATTATTGAATAAACCATCAAGCATTCGCATGTCTGACGATCATGACTCACAATCATCCATCCATCTCATACGTATTGCATTAGAAAAAAAGCGTTATCGCGAAAAATATTTGTAAACGATGTGCTCGCGAATTCGCTGTCAATAATAATAACGGAGGCGGTTGTAGTCACAGCGGGACATGGCATGCAAAATATGAAGATTGTTCATATTTGAAATGTGGCTTCCACTTGGGAATTAAAGCATCTATTGGTAGACAACATTGGTCTTGCTGCTATTCATTCGTCAAAGAATCAACTACTTGTGATCAAAGCGAACCGCATGAAGCTTAAGAAACTTTTTTTTCCTAAGTAATTGTTTATTTACTGCAATCAAAGGCAAATAAATGAATTCTTTTCGCTTATCGCGTAACGATACGACAGGTGTGCATTGACACGAAAAAAGAAACTTGGACGATGTTTTTTTCCAACTAAATTCAGCCACGCACGTGAAGCGAATTCATGTTCACACTCAAATCATCAGATCTTCGTCAAAATTTTCTAATACCATGAATTTGATTAGGAATTATGTCAGACTAAAAAAACGTGAGAGAGGTTGATAAAGCTGTAATAAACAAAAAATAGATATTTATTTATTATCTTGTTGGTTTCTACCATCTAAAATATATTATACCAGTCTTTTTTTTATTTTTAAAATACAAACATCTGATATATTTGATTATTATTTCAGGTCACATCACATGCTATCTATTAGATCAGATCGATTTTTGAATGCGATACCAGGTGTCACTGATGAACAATTTAAACATAGCCAATTCCTTAAATTTTACAATCAAACCGAAAAATGTCCTTCATCAGATTCTGTGATAGACGGATTGATCGGTTTAAGGATTATAAATGATCGTTCACACGCGATTTTAACAGCCATTGAAACTGAACCTGATTCCCATAATATTATTAAAGTATATTCATCTGATTTTGATCTTGGCTCGAAAAAATTCTATAAATATATTAATGAAGAACTCATGAATGACAATGAAGATACGTTAGGGAAGTTAATGCCATTTATTCGTCGAGCTACAAGTCAAATTAATCATCATGATATTGATAGAGATTGTATTTTGTATCGTGGCATGAATTTGAATGAACAACAACGTGACTTTTTTTCTATTGGAAAACTATTTCGATTTCCCGGATTCACAACTACAACGGAAAATATTGATGTTGCCAGACGATTCGGTGATACATTGTTTGAAATACACGTAAACGCGCCATGCCATCAAGTGGTACATATGGCTCATATTTCATATTATAAAGACGAAGAAGAATGGTTGTTTTCTCCTTATTCACGTTTTCAAGTAAAACAAATAATTGAGGAATTCATTATTTTACAATCTGTTGATAATTTAGCATCTATTGAAGATGAATATTATGTAAGTGATAATGAACAGAGCATTTCATATGACCGCAGCATAAGTGATACACGCAGTGCTGAATATCCAACTAGTGACACACGCAGTGCTGAAGATACAATAAGTGACACACGCAGAACTGAAGATGCAACAAGTGATACACGCAGTGCTGAATATCCAACAAGTGATACTCGTAACGAATTTTCAGATTACGACCAACGAAGTTATTCACACCAAACAGAAGACAGCTATTTTACAAGGGATGATGAACGAATAGATGTACACAATAATAGAGACGATATTTCCATCCGAACATCAGATTCTCAATTATATATTGGTCAGAACACTGCGTTCGATGAAGACTTCGAATATGCTGATAATGATAATCGTAATCAAAACTACTTTTCAAATTACATCGACAATAATTTTGAGGGCGATGACGTGACATATGATGGAAGAAGTTTTGAACAAACTGTCTCAACTGACAACGATGGAATATCCACAGATGATAGTCAATACAGTTCGCTTACTTCTTTGTCTTATTCATTGAATTGTATGAGGATGATATTTAACTGCTTTAGCTGTTTCTTATGTATGTCACGATCCACACTTCCTTCAAGCCCAACAAGCTCTTCTTCAACTCATTCTGATACAAGTGTATCCTCTTTTCCAATGAATACCTTTGATCGAATTGAGACGCTCTGACTGTTATTTTTTTTAAACAATGTATCTGATAATACATACAATGAAAATTGATCTCGCTCCTCACTATATTCTTATAACTATATTTTCAACAATTTATTTATCATTACTATATACTCCGCTCGTCGACCCTGATGCCATTTCAGAATCAGCGGAGACATTTCTCAAACGACAATAGGACAAAGTATCGATCTGAGCAACTGTTGTTTCATAATCGCGATCGTTCTCTAGGCGGCTGTAATTACAGCGGAACATGGCATGCAAAATACGAAGATTGTTCGTATTTCAAATGTGGCTTCCGTTTTGGGGTTGTGATGATCTTTTTTCGCATGCGCTGTACGCATGCTATTTGTCCCTACTTCGGTGCATTTTTGTGTACTTTGACATTATCCTTCCTTCCTTTCTATCGAGAGAAGGATATATAAACGTGTGTTCTGTATTAGAACGAGGCGATTGATGATAGGAAGAAATAAAGGAAGACATGATTCCATCGGGATACACATCTCTTCCATAAGAAATCGTCACAGGGATCAAAACGAATCACATGAAGCTTAAGAAACTTTTTCTTACTAAGTAACTATTTATTTACCGCAATAAAAGGCAAATAAATGAAATAAGCTTTCGAATACATACATTCATTTTGCTTATCACGCAAATACAAGACAGGTGTGCATTGGCACAAAAGACAACTTGGTGGATATTTCTTTCCAACTAAATTCTTTCAGATACGTAAAACGAACTATAAATGATTTGATTATATAGATATTCGTATGGACAAAATGGCGAAATTGATGTTTACAAAATTGGATGAATTACAAAATCATGAAGATTTTACTATTGTTTTACTTTCTGCGCAGAAAAGTCTCCTATATGAAGAAAATATCGTCGATTATTTAAAGAAATGCTGTTCATTAGAAGCTTTTAATGATTACGTGGATACAGTTCAAAGTGAACATAAAATCCTTCTTATTTTGACGAATTTCTTTGACGATCTATCAACATTTCATCAATTCCGTCAAATCCATGCAATATACATCTTAAATTCTTCCTCCCAACCCATCCAAATCGACAAACAAACCTATTCCAAATTAGTAGACATTTTCACAGATGAATCCGTGTTAATTGAACAACTACGTCAAGATATTCTTCTTACATACATAAGTGACTTCCCAATCGATATTTCCATTTTAGAAGATATGAAAAATCAACAAAGCTTAACTAATTTAGATAACACAGCACTCATGTTTTTGTGGAATCAAGCATTTATTCATTATCTAGTGAATTCCCCTTTGTTACCAATGGATATGAATAAACTCAAAGAGAAGATGTTGCGTCAATGTCGACTGGAATATGCAACTAATAAAGCTCAATTGATCACTATTGATGATTTTGAAAGGAATTTTATATACGACGATGCAGTGAAATGGTATACCAAACCATCGTTTGTCTATCGTCTTGTAAACAAGGCATTTCGTACTCGAAATATCAATTTAATCTGCAAATTTCGATATTTTATTATATTTCTACATGATCAGCTAGCGAAATTGAACAAAATTCAACGAAAGGAAAACTATCCTGTTCTGTATCGAGCACAGAAGATGGAGAAGAACGAACTGAAAAATCTGAAATCAAATGTCGGAAATCTCATTGCAACAAGTACTATAATGTCAGCCACACGAAGTCGAAATGTTGCAGAAGTGTATGTAACTCCAAATGAGACCAATGTTATGTTCGAAATACATATTCCCAATGGAGCTATTGATACATGCTTTCCATTCGCTGATATTTCTCAGTTTAGTGCAATTCCAGATGATGACGAAACTCTGTTCTTTGCTGGATCAGTTTTTCGTATTGAATCTGTTGTTGAAGACGATGATTCGCTAAAAACTGTTAAAATTACTTTGGTCAATCAAACAATTTCGTTAACAAAACAATTCGTAGATCTTCTTGAGATGGACCTGCCAGGTCTTATTGATGAACAGCTCACTCATACATCCTATTGGGCTCGATTTTTTACGAAAACAGATGATTTCAACTTAATGAAAAACTATTACATGTTTTTAACAGGTGAAAAATGGTCATTTGAGATGATATTAACAGGCAGAATAGGTATTGATTTTCATTATTTATTTCGTAACTTAGGCAAATATGAAAAGTTTATTGAATATTATAAGCAACTTTTATTAGACAGAAATTTCATCAATCAACAAAAATTTATTGTTCTTAACATCCTTATCGGATGCAATTATCTTTATCTTGGCGAGCACTACGATGCATTCACTCACTATGGCCTGGCATTTTCATTATTAGACGAGAATCATCGATTAACAGGTGAACTTTACCATCATATCGGTGATGTATGGAATGCAACACGTGCTTTTAAGAATGCATTATCATGTTATTGTGAATCTTTGAGAATTTTGACGAATTGTTGTGTTAAAGATTACAATATTGCGAGATTGTACAGAAAAATGAGTAATGTGTATCGAAATGAAGAAAATGATCTTGTTGCGGCGAAATATTATGAAGAAAAAGCCGAGGAATTGGATAAATCTTTTCGACAACCATCAGAATTAAACTACGATAACTTGTTAGAAAAATATCAGGATCAGTTAAATAATGGAGTCGATCTTCAACCAGCTGATCGCGCGAATGTGTTATACTCAATGGGTTTATGTTTAATAAAGAAACGCGATTATGTAAAGGCATTGAAGAAATTATTCCAAGCAAAAGAACTATACAAAAGTCATCTCTCATCATCTGATCATATCGAGAAGAACTTCATTAAAGTTTTTGATAGTATTGCATGGATTTACCTTCGTTTAAATGATTACTTCAATGCACTGTTAATATGGAAGCGATCGATTGACTTACGTCGAAGTTTTTTATCAAACTAGTATTGCTCTATATTCATACTTTCAATAAATACACGTTCTTAAGCTCGTTAGATTTGTTCTTTTCAAAAATCATCTCGAGAATTGTAGACGAACAGTAGAACAAATTATGTATCAAGTCACATAAGCATTTTCTTCAGTACGTATGTAATGGAGTTAACAAATATATGAGGAGTTCGACATTTCACTTACAAATCAATGACAACAAGCAAAACGTTGCTATCAAAATGTTCAAGAGGTCGATACTCATCACCGTTGGCATTTTTGGTAATAAACGTTGGTGCATGAACGGATTTGAACACCGTACCTTTCAGTTTCGTTACATATATATGCTGGATAGCTGCGCTTGTTGTATCAACAATCACGTGTTTAAATCCTTGACGACGAACATGATCAAGAAAGACTTGATTCAATTTTGAAGCCAGGCCTGTTAATAAAATTGACTGTAGATTAGAGTTCTACATTCCAAGTTATTGTGACTCGAACGATTCTACCGGAAAAATTTACCTCTTCCATGACAATCTGATCGTACACCAACCATGAGTATATGTGCAACTGAATTTTGTTTCAATTCACCATGTGTTTTTTCATATTCTTTTATATAATCTTCTTTAGATTGATGTATCAATTGCAGAATTGGATCTGCTCGTTTCTCTTCACCGGCGTTGGTATCAGCTGTTGAATCTTCTTCATCATCGGGAGTATTTAGATCAATGCCTTGTACAATACCATCGATTTGATTTGTTTGTTTATGACGTGCAATGACAGATAGATTTGTACTGACAATAGCTTGGCACAGTGCAAGTGCGTCCGAAAAAAATTGTTCGAAGGTTGTTTTCATAAAAATTTCGTACGGATTATCCTTGGTGAATGTATAAGCAAGAAAAGTTGCACATTCGATACAATCTTTGTCTTGTAATATCTCATACGTGTAGTTGTCGTTTTGATCGAGGATTTTAGACATTGTGCCAATAATTCTGATGTGGTTTTCAGCAGCTCTACTAAATATTAATGTTGAGAAGAAAAGAAAAATATAACGAAGCAAAAATTGCTATTGATGATGAAATCACATTCTTTATTGGAGAGTTGTCGTTGTATTGCACCACAAATATGTGACTCACAAAAATAAGATGATGCAACGGTCATAAACCCAAAAAATCTCTCATTAGTCCTCGATTTGTATATCTGCAGAAACAAACTAGAATAGATCATGCGATAGAAATCGACATACAAAATATTCGAACTTCCAATAAATCAATAATTATTTCAAGCATTCAAGTGTATATGACCAACTCATGAATACCAGTATTTACACGTACACATCAGTTGTCATGTAACCATCATAAACGAAAAACCTATATGGGTTGCAACTTTATTACTAGTGAACACAAGGGAAGCGAAATGATAGCAGCTAAAGTATTCATTGATAATCAGTGAAAATCAACAAGAGTCAAATATAGTTGAAATTACATCATCGTAATAGCTACCATTATGTAACCCTCAAGATTTTCAATGAATAAAGTAAGGATAGGGATTGATATCTATTCTTGCTCACACTCTTTAGTAGAAAATATAATGAGAGTAGCTCTCTCTTTTTACATGAGTAAGATGTATTGTGCTCAGTAAATGATTAGAATGTCGTGATTCTTTTTCGTTGTCTCAGTCTCTTAAGTAAATATAATTCAAAGAACGAAAAAAAGCCGTCGTGATGTTCGTAACGAGATTAGTACACGTGGAGGAAGAAAACAGATTTGAGTAATACAACAGTATTGTATGTTTCACTTCAGTACTTACAGAAATAGAGATAAAATATCAGATGATGGTGACTCTGACCAATCAATTCGATTTCGAAGGTTTGTACGATATTCTATCAACAGTTGAACAAAGTATTCTATATTCAAAGGCTGAATCCTTGGAAGAATAGTTCGAAAAACGTTCAAAGAAGTCGTTGTGCCATATTATTTATCTTCATTTTGACAATAATTCTTTATTACCAAATTAATTCAAGACATCAATCACGACAGAATTACCTCAACCAAAGAAACAAAAGTCTAATGAACTAAACACAACTATAACATATTTTCACCGATCGTTCACATTTTTAGTAAAACAATGTCCTGAAGATTCGAATGGTATCGCGCCATACAAGTTGACCAAAGATCAATCAGTCCTATATTATAACCCAAATATAACATTCAAGAAAAATCAACCATACTCTACTTGCCATTGAGTAGCTCATGGATACACATCAAATCCTTGACGAGATTGTCCATCGGATGCTCAGCATGTCGTAACACCACTGATCCTCATGTCGACTAGTTTTCAGCTAAAGCAGACGTTGATTTAAGCGCAAATATTGGTTCGAAACTAAGCTCTTAAGTGTTCACTTGGAAATTTATCATCGGTACATTGTTCACCAGCATATTTCTCGTGTTACATTCGAAAAGAATATCGAACAGTAAAGACGTATTGATAAATCTTAAATGGCAAAGTATTCATGTTACATTTAGTCGGATATCATGTGATGTTACTACTGTAAAAGGATATTTATTAGCTGAAGCAGACTTATCGTTCTAAATAAACAAGTTAGAAAGTCAAATAGAGAGGCAAGGTGTGGGAATTAAACTTCAACGAATAGAAAATTTTCATCTAACAATCGCATCCGTGGCGTATACTTATCCACCAGATTGTATTACCAGCAAACTTCGACGATTTTTGTTATCTCAATTGTAGAGAAAATAATTTGGTTTACCACGTATTTGTTGTTTTCGTATAAGGCTGGGACAGAGTGTTGTTTCTAACTATGCTCAAGATTGTATTTCAAATGATTTTTGTGTGCATGATATTATGTAACTTTTAAGAACATCGAAATAAACAGTACTCATTGAAGAATGGGTGAATAGTCATGGATAAAAAATACATTGTTCTACTCGATTTCATAATGCACTTTAGCGAAAGAAAGTGAATTGTAATAGCTCTCAAAGAATGATTCAAAACGTCAAAATTTGTTTACTTTTCATCACAAAGGTGTACTGAATCTATTCGAGCAGAGAAAACAGTATTAATGTTTACTGCTCGTACGTTGCTTTTACTCGTGACAAAATTTAAAAAGTACACTCAAATTCATATACGCCTTTGTCGTTCTGACTACAACACGTTAAACATATCATGATTAAACTCAACACAATGTACTTTTTATTGGAACGTTTCGAAAGAATTTATATATATATGAGAAAAAAGAAACATTAACTACATATCAGAAAAATGAAGCTCATTTGGTATCTGGTCCTTGTGATTTTATATGCTCTATACAATACAATCGAAGGAGCACACTTTCGTGGTGGTATTATTTCATGGTACGTACATACACCTCTCATCCAACTTTCATTTCGATACTTTGATTCTCCTCAGGCGTCCATTGAATAGTACACCATCGGGTAGTAGTGCAAGTATTCTTATCCATCAAAGATATTTCTGGAATCGAGAATGGTCTGGTTTTACTCCACCTTATTGCACAGAAGCCGATGTTGCTTCACAAACATCGATTCCCGTTAATTCTTACATGACTTGTCTATCAAACTGTTCAAGTTCTACCTATCCGAGCAGCGGTCTTTCAACTGTTATGACAACAACAGATTGTGATCAAAATACAATCATCGAATCATGGGCTGGTGAACGATATGATACTTTGACTTTGCCTTTGACGACATCGATCACAATTGGTTTTCAGTCGAGTGCATGGATGACTGCTCTTTATATTGGCGGAGGTCAATCATGGTCAATTGTGAATCGATTGAATTTAGGTTTGAGACCAGATGGTTATATCAATAGTAGTCCTGTTACAAATACACTTCCAGTTGTGTTTTATCAAATAAATACACAAGTTGTTCATGTTGTTCAAATGGCAGATAATGATGCTACTGATATTTTGCAATGTCGTTGGTCAAATTCAGCATCTGGATCGAATTACAATCGAGTTGATGAATGTGGAGGTATTTGTAGTGGCTTACCTTCATCAACAGTGGTAACTGCATCAAATTGTACCTTGTCTTTCACTTTACCAACGGCGAATCTCTATTATGCATGTGCTCTTCAGATCGAAGATTATTATAGTAGTTCTTCGACTAGTCCGATGAGCTCTGTTCCAATTCAATTTCTATTCTACGGATACACGGCCTCTTCTGGTGCTTGTTCAGAACGTCCATCAATCATTGGTGATCGTCCAAATCGAGGTATGATCATGTGTTCTGTTTGAAATCTTGATTAATTCTTTCTCTTTGTATTTAATTCTCTCATCTCAGCTTGTATTGGAGTTCCAATTGGTAAGTTGTGATGGAATCTTTCATAGAAGAATTTTTCTAATGGATACTTTAGGCGTGCAACTGAATGAAACAATCATCATTCAAACATATTGCCCTGGTCAAACCATCGTTGATCTTGTGACGAGTTCACCCTATGGAATGACACACAGTGCGATCAGTAATCCCAGCACCAGTAAGTAATTGATCATCTTTGACAAGAATGAGAGAAGTATTTGATATAATGATAGATCTTTGGACAATGGTATTGACATGGACACCCGTGGCAGCACAAACTGGTCCTCAGGGTTTTTGCGCTGGTGCTATTGATAATAGTAGTTTACAATCCGATCCATGGTGTATAACATATTTAGTTGATTATGACTCACCCGATCTGATTCGTCCGACACTAGTGCAAGGATCAGCAAGTCCAGTAGGCACTGTTTTCTCCAATCAAACTCTCTTTTCAATCGAAGGTAGACATCTCCTAGGAAGTTTTTATTTTTTCATCTCGCCTTGATTTTGATTCGACAGCATCAAGTACCGTTGGTCGTCCAACTCGTAATGGAACAGATATTTGTTTTCATGATGCAGATACGAATGTGTCAGTGGTGTGTTATGATGCTGGTTATGCATCAAATCTGGTTTACACTGGAAACACAATTGTCATTGTTGCAAACTATTCGTGGACACCTGGTAAAACTTATTATGTTACAATGGATAGTGGATTTGCAAGTGGAAGTGTTTTTTGTCGTAAGTTTGATGATATCTAATATAGAAATGAATTGTCGATGGAATATAATAGATGCGGAATCATCACCCATCACTGATCCAACCTATTGGCGATTCAATATTTGGGATCCAGCTGTTTCAAGTACAACGACAACAACCACCACACCATTCACAACTGCGACAGTCACAACTCGACCAACATCGACTACCAGCATCAATACTCTGGTATTGATTCTTTTCAATTTTCTTCGTGTAATTAATTATGATGATGTTTGTGAATAGTTGACAACAACTGGTATTGCACTAACAACAACGACTGCGATGACAACAAATGCAACCACTGCAAGTACTTCCGACTCAACTACAGCTGGTAATAATCATGAAATATTTTCTGTTGTTAAATTCTAAATTTTTCTCCATCTACTAGCCTCAACAACAGCTTCTGCAACTACATCAAGTGAAACAAGTGAATCGACAGTTGCTGTCATGTATCCGAAAGACTTCGTAAGTTCGTCATCTTTGAAATGTGTTGCATGACGATATTTGTGATAGGAAAATGCATGTCAACAAACAGTAGCGATAATGACACCTGTTTTCTTCATTACTCTGATGCCTGTGCATGCTGTGGTGATGTATGCTGCATTTATCAAAATCTCAAATATGTTCAATCCAGCTCATATCCAAGCGCAAGCCAGACACAAACGACGACTACGGCGCATTTTTGCAGCTTAGGAGCATTTTTCTTTTGATTTTGTACATGTGTGATATTTCCCTTATATAAATGAATATTAAAACGTCGAATTTTCTTTATTCAGCCCTTGTTGACAAATATCCGTTCATAAATGAATCATTTTTTTCTTGCTTCGAAGTTGAGCAATGACTGAGTATATCATCTTTGTGCTTTGTGCAATTATTCGCTGAACACTGCTCAAACGGCTTTGGATATGTTCTTTTCTCGATCTCGAAAACAGGACGAGGGTCAAATGCTCTCAGTTCTAGTCGTGCTGACTATAAAAAAGAAAATCAGATGATATGTTGGACAGTGCACACTGTATTTGAATGAAAGAACAGGACTTATCGAACAACTAATGTTTGATTTGAACTGCAAATGAAGTGAATCATGTTGCGCATTATGATCTTATCGACATCTGAAGATCTAGGATTAGGAACCCAAAGAATTGAAAAACGAGATAAGTGTGAGATGAATACAGGTGAAGTGATTCACATGTTGACAGAAAATCGATTTCAAGCTGGTATTCAGTGCATTGTTTGTTATTGTATAGTAAATGATATTGAATCTGTCATAGAATTAAACAAGGTAGAAGCGCTCAAGATGACTTTGTTTAGAGAAAATGACAATCAAGTTCGGAGTCATCTGATCATACTCATGTTCAAATGACTACAATCAACTAAATCCAACGCATTTATGGGTACCGCCGAATGTTGAAACGTTGAATATGATAGTGAAACGTGTAGAAAATGTAACTGACCCATTCTGATAGTCAAATTTTCATGAATTTTGACGAATAAAACGCTTTGGAATGATCTTTTGTGAAGATTAGCATTATCCAGAGAAGAATAACAGGTCTTAGATGAAAAGAGGCTGTGAACAACAAGTAACACTCATCCTTCGGATTCGCCGACCCTTTTCTGAAAGAATTCTTCTTCTGCTGAACATGTTCAAACGGTTTGAAAAACACATAAGATACTACGATTGTCACGCATTAGAACATAGCTGTCACAATATCATTACCCCGGGTATCCAGAGCTGAACGTCTCGATATCCAGTAGGATAACTAAACTAACTTCGTCAGCCGATCTCGTTACCCATTACCCGATACCCGATACCNCAGGAATAAGATGTGGGGCAAAACTTCAGATAGACGTAAGTGAATTTTATTTAGGATAAAGTTAAAATTAAGAACAGAAGTAGGCAGTGCAGAATAAGCTCAGGTATAGTCAGTTAAGGATAAGGTTAAGATTAGGATTAGAAATAGGTAGTTAGGAATAAGTTAAGGGTAATGTTAAGGATAGGATTAGAAATAGGTAGTTATAGATAAGCTTATGGATAGAAGTGGCGCGCAAAAGACAAGGATAAGTAGTTGAATAGGGGACCAATAGATAGTGGAAGGTAGAGCAACTAAAATGAACTGTTCTCTGGAAGGCTAGAACCATTTTTTGGGAAAATAGAAAAAAGTTT